GGAGAGAGGGAAAGGGAAAGGGAGAGGGAGAGGGAGAGGGAGAAAGGGAGAGGGGGAGAGGGAGAGAGGGAGAGGGAGAGACTGGAAAGGGCTGACCTGATAGCTCAGTGCAGTGGCCAGGGTTTGATCCCTGGCATGGCATGCCACGTTGGCCCCACCCGTGGGGCACACTGAGACTGTGATGTTGAGACTGGGCATAGTGGCATGCGCTGGTAATCCTAGAACTTGGGAAGCTGAAAACAGGAGAATTACTATGAGTCCAATCTACATAGTGAGACCTTGTAGACCCTACAGATCCTATCCTAATTACAGAAACAAAAAAATAGGACTGGAGATGTAGGTCAATGATCACATTTTTTCAGCTATTTTAGAATAGCAGAATTGGGGAGATGACTCAATAGAATAAGCACTTGCCTGGTAAGCGCAAGGGCCTGAGTTCAATCTCCAGTTCCTCAAAAAAAGAACCCACAATAGAATTGAAGAATCACTTTGGCAGCACATATACTAAAGTTAGAATAGCAGATGCAAAGGAGATATTAGAGGTTTCATTATTTGAAAAAATACATGTACTGTTGTTCCTCTGTGTCGTCCCCCACCCCACCCCATGTATATATAACAGCAGCAGCAGCAGCAGCAGTAGTAATAGCACAAGCTACAAAAATAGGTTCCATCCAGCAGAAAAGTATAAAAATGAGATATATAAAGTAAAGCCATATTAATATGCTGAGCTGTGAAAGGCTCAAGTCAAGAACTTGTGCGGACAGCCCACTATTATTGTGGACTGCTGGACTGTGTTTGATTGTTTTGCTGAATTCACGCACCTATAGTATTTAGGTGCCAATGGAATGCCCATCTCTGACAGGACTAAACAAAAAAGGGGGATAAAAAGGAAGGACCATTTTGTATCTGTATATGCAGAATAGTTAGGATAGATGTACAGCTACTTATGCTTAATTCAGTGAGAAGAAAGATTTGTACTAATAGTGTTTGGACAGGATATCCTGTCTGCATCTTGTACTATGGATAACCACTAAGAAGATAACAATGTACATTGTATTAATTATTGAAACTGTCCTGTTAATCAGTTTTGAAACTGTCTCATTGCTATTTGTTTCTCAATAAAAAAAATATAGAAAGAAAATTATACTTTAGGGCCGGGGAGATAGCTCAGTAGAATAAGCACCTGCCTAGCAAGTGCATGGACCTGAGTTCAATCCCTGGTAGTATAAGTAAATAAATGAATAAATAAATAAATAAATAAAACTTTAAATTTTATGGATTAAAAAAAAAATAGGTTCCATCCAAAGGATTTAGAATCAGAATCGGGGCCTGCAGGTATAGCTATGTGTAGAGCTCTTTCTAAGCATGTGTGAAGTCCTGGTTTTGACCCAGCACCACAAAACAAAAACAAAATTCAAGGTAAATAAATTATAAAGCTTAGACTGTACAATCTTACTGAGACAATATAGAATGAATACATGAAGAAAAAGGATCATTATGACCTTAATACAGTTTTAGAGGCATCATAAGAAATAAACCAAACAATGTCTGCAGTTATGCAGAAGGAAATCATTAGTTGAACAACTGCCATGAGTGATGATGGGGCACTAAGTCCTTACATATGCTGAAAAAATATAAAAAATAAATTCCATGTATATTGCATGTCCTTCGATTCACCAAAAAAAAAGAAAAAGAAGAAGGAAATCTTTTCAATTTTTGTTTCAACTGTTATTGTTTCAATTTTTTTTAGCATGAGCACATATTATCATTATACTAGTAAAACTAGTTAACTAAAAAAAATAGTAATGAAGACAAATAATAGTAACCAACATCAAGTGGGCATTTATTCTGTACCAGGCACTATACTAAGAGCTTTATTCATTATAATTCATTTTAGCCTCACAACTCTATTAGGGCCTATTACTGGGCCATTTTACACATCAAAGAGGTATATCCCCATCAGCTAACAATAACTAGTGTGTATTCACACTAAGTTGATATAATTCTAATTAAAAGCAAGAGAAAAAAGAAAATATACTGAAGGCAGGGGAGACAGAAGGTACAACTGACATAGGACATTAGGCCACGGCAGACTGGCTGGGAAGGAGGTGTGCCCTACGGATTGCAAAGTTCCAGGACACAGGCACAGAACAGTTCCAAAAGCCCTCTATGAAGAACCAGAGTGCTATCTTCAATTCTCACGAGAACCCAAGCAAGTTTTCAACAGGGCCTATACCTGAGGCCAGGCTGAGCGCTGGAGATACAGAAGGAAAGTCGACATTGGGCCCAGTCTCAACTGTAGTCTCTCGCTACTGTCTTCTATAGGCATGCACTTCCACGCCAGAGTGTCCATCCATCTGTCCGTCTGTCCTTCCTTCCTTCCTTCCACTTGGCCCAAATCCACTCTCGAGAGCCTGTTTCTTTTCCAACCTTTAATAAATGTAAACCTTGCTACCTTTTGTGTTCGTGTTGACAAATTCTTTGTTTAGGAGAGAAAGAACCTAGAAACCACTTCTAGGAGACTCTAGCACCCCAAAACCTGGTAACATTATTTTGGGGAAAAAGAACCATGGATATAACTCCTTGCTATAGACTGGCAGTTACTGACAATACTATGACAACCCCTACTGCAGCTGGAGGTGGCTCAGTAGTACGCAAGAGGCCCTGGATTCAATTCACAGCACTGCAGAAACAAAATAAAACAAAACCCTTTTTATCCTCTTGCTACCTCCCCATGTTAAAAACAGAAATGCGAGTAACCAGTGACTCATTTCATTTCATCAGCTCTTCTGTTAATATGCAACTGCCCTTGAAATCAGTAGGACAGGTAAGAACCTTTTTCTCTCAGAATGAGCTACCTTAGCCAATTTCCATCCCCTCCCTTCACCACTGTCCCTTCTCTTTCTCCTCACCTTTAAGCAAAATAAAAGCCAGAAAAGAAGTGCTGAGGAAAGTTTGATTGAGCTTCTCTAGACAGCCAGAGGGGCTGGGAGCTTGGGGGAAGAAGTAAGGAAAGAAAAGAAAAACCACCTCTAAAATCTCTGCAGAGCCCCAGGCTGGTTCTCTCCTCTCCAGTCATGCCACATTCCTGGGCATAAAAACAAGCTGAATTCCTGTGGCTCCTGAGTGCTGATCCAGCGCCGAGGAAGTGTCATGGTGGAACACACAGTGGTAGAACAATCTGATAATAATATTCAGAGGGGCACATTATCAGAGGAAAGGAGGAAAAACTAAGGAGGGTTTGAGATGGTCTAGAACTACCAAAAAGAAGTGCCTACTTTGAAAGAAGCCCCCCATAATGCTGGTGTCTTTTAAGCTACATGTTCCCACTGTTACTGCTGAATCCTCAAAGAAAGAAAGCTCTACAGTTCTGTTTGGTTTCCAGTTCCTTCTCAGTCTTCCCTGCAGTGCACATCCTCTTTGAAATACCAGGGAAGCTCGTTTATTCCTCAGCCCTTCAGTCAGTTACAGTATAAACACAATCTTTTAACAAGTATTTCCCAAGAATTTCTAATAAGTGTAGCCCTATACACTAATGATTTTGGATGGGATCCTTCCTGTGATTTGCCTTGGTTGACTAACTGCAGTACTTGGGATTGAGCCTAGGGCCTCTATACTAGCACATCCTCGGCCCTTTTTATTTACTTTGAGACAAGAGTTCTTGCTAAGTCACTCAACTACCTCTTTACAATCTTCCTGTCTCAGCCTTCCAAGTAGTACTGGAATCACAGCTGTGTGCTACCATGCTTGGCAGGAAGAACGAGTTGTTAATGGTGGAATTAAAACGCTTTAGAAAAACTTTTTTTTTTTTTTCTGATATACATAGTACACAGTCTTCAGGGTCTCACTACACAGATTGGACATGTTGTGATTCTTCCTGTTTTTTCAGCCTCCCAAGTGCTGGGATTACAGGCACATACCACGCCCAGTCTCAATGATTAACTCAGCATGTCCCGGGGTCAGGGCCTGCATAGCAGGTAGGAGATTGAACCCTGGGCCCCCGCATCTTTCTAAGCAGGTGCTTTAATCTGCTGAGCTATCTGGCTGGCCCCAGAAAAACACTTTAGAACCAAAACTTCACTGGTGCTCTTCAAATCATACCATATAAGCAATCTTTCTTCAGACATGATCTTGCTATGTAGCCTAGACAGGCCCTGAACCTGCAATGATCCTCCTGCTAAGTGCTGGGATTACAGGCACGCACCACCATGTCTGGCTCAATCTTCTACAATATTAAAGGTTTAGTCATTTTTGAACTCAGGATTAAGTAGGACTGGACAAAAGGAAAGAGTTAAGAACAGAGGACTTTTATTCCCTTCTTTTTAGGCCAATCCTATTTTAACCTGTCAGGTCACCCTAGAAACTCCCTTGTTTCAACTTTTTGGAGTTTGGAGTTTTAGCCAAGCCCTGGCTGGATAGGCTCAGGTAGATCATCTGACCAGGCTAAGATTCAGTTCCACATATGGAAAGGGAATAATGATACATGTAATAGAAGGAAAGGGAGGAGGGGAATAGATGTGATGGAGAAAAAGATGGGACTCTTGCTCCATTATGGAAAATGGAGATAATGCTACCCCCACCAAAGCAGTCTGTGTCTGTCTTGCTCATGTTTGGAATGTATGAGGCCTTGGGTTCAAAGAGAATGGTATCAAACTTTTTTTGTCAGTACTAGGGATCAAACCCACAAGTGGGCTACTACTGGGCTACAATCCCAGCCATTTTTATATTTTATTATGAGACAGACTGTTTCCCAAGCTGGCATCAAATTCTCCATCCTCCTACCTCAGCCTCCCGAGGATCTGGGGTTTCAGGAGTATGCCACTATGCCAGGCATTCATGAACTTTCTGTCATTTATCTAGATCTTCCTTGAATGGGACAGAATCATGCCAGATCCAGTTAGGTACTACTCTGATAATATTACAGCACAAATAAATCTAAATTCTTAGTAATGAATTGCTCTTTTAGAAAACTCCAATATTTTTTCAACTTCCATACTTACCCTGATACATCACAGGAATGGTGCCAGTAAAATTCAACAGGTCCTTCTGGGAACTATCTTTAAAAACTGAAAAGAAAAAAAAATACAAAAATGCAATCAGGAATACGATTTTATTAAAGTGTATAAATGCACACACATACACACACACACAACATAGACACATACACACATCTCTACATCCCAGTACATATACCAACAAGGTAAAATTACTAGATTTAGTTTACTTAGAAAGTCGTGAGATTAGCTGAATAAACACAGAACTCTGAGACTAAAATTCCAAGTTGTAGGCCCACTTTCCCTCTTAGAGACACATTCTAGTTATTTCAATCTCTCTTCAGTTTCATAATCTACAAAATAAATACTTTTCAGTTATCATAGAGATCAAATAAGATTTGAAAAGTCTTAAGAAATAGCCTTATAAAATGTGAGGACATTATTAAATAACTATGTAAAGTCAGTATTATAAACACTTTTCTAGGGCCAGGGAGATGGCTCAGTGGAATAAGCGCTTCCCTGGCAAGCACAAGGACCTGAGTTTAACTCTTCCCTGGTTCCACAAAAAAACAAAACAAAACAAAACAAAACAAAACACATTTTTCTAATCAGAAGAAAATTGTTATCTTTAAAGTAATCTTTTAAGCTGTGCATGGTGGCACATGGCTGTAATCTCAACACTCAGGAGGCCGAGGCAGGAGAATTACAGTTGAGTTTGAGATCAGCCCGGGCTACATAGTGAGTTAGGTCAAACCTGAACTACTTATTGAGACTCTGTCTCAAAAAGCCTAAATAGGGCCCTGGGAAGATAGCTCAGTAGAATAAGCGCTTCCCTGGCAAGCGCAAGGTCCTGAGTTCAATCCCCGGTTCTGCCAAAAAAAAAAAAAAAAAAAAAAAAAGATTAATAGTTATCATCTTGGTTTCTCTATTATTATCAATCTCTGTTCAACATTTACATCCCTGCAATTTCAACTTTCCCATCAATAAGTGGGATGCTCTGGATAAAAATCAATGTCCTAGGGCCAGCCAAATAGCTCAGCAGATTAAAGTGCCTGCAAGCAGGCGCAGGGGCCAGGGGTTCAATCAAACCCCGGGGCACGCTGAAATGGCAACTGAGACTGGGCATGGTGGCGTGTGCCTGTAATCCCAGCTCTTGGGAGTCTATAAACAGGCGGATCACTACTAGTCCAATCTAGTAGTGAGACTCTGAGCATCCTGTAGACCCTTCCCTTAAAAAAAAAAGTCCTAATCTCAGGCTGAAGACAAACAATACCACTGATTTAAAACACACACACACACACACACACACACACACACACACACACAATTATATTGAAATGTAGTCCTTTTAATATTTCAGTAACTAAGAGGAAAAAAATTTCTAAACAGATTTCAATGACTATTTCAAAAGGGAAAAGAGGCTGTTTCAGTCTTCAGGCTGCTACAACAAACTCCCATAAACTGGGGTACTTACTTGTTCAGAAACAATCGAAATTTATTTCTTACAGGCTAGAAGATCCAAGGCAAGGCACTGGCAGGTCAGTGTCCACAGAAGGCCCTGTCCTGACCCTTTTTGCTATTTGGTCACATGGCCAGAGGACAAGAGCTTCAGGCCTTTTTTATAAGGGCAATAGTCGCACCCATGAGGTCTCTGCCAAAGAGCCTCCCAAAGGCCCTGCCTCCTGCGCATCACTGCAGACTGGAACTTCAGACTACAGCATAGGCTGACACAGAAAACCCAAGGCCAAAAGTGTAGATGAGAACAAATACTTCTCCTGAAACACAGAAGTGAAAGGAACAACGTGTTTTCACCCACTGACTACTCCTGGCCAAAACTTAAAATGGAGAGAAGAACAGAAGAGGCCTATTGCTCAGGGACAGAGAATAGCCTAGAAATGTATTAGAAGATCTATAAGTAGAACATTCACTTCCTAATCAAATTGTTAAAAAGAAAAAGCAAAACAGGCCCAGGGTGTGACTCTGGTAGAGAGTCACATAGCATGCATGAGGCCTTGGGTTCAAAGAGAAAGAAAGAGAGAGAAAGAGACAGCCAGCAGCCAGCACAGAAGTGACTGCGATGCATAAAAATCATCGCCTCTAGTTACGGAACACAGACTGACAATGCAAATCCTGTAATTCAACAGTTTAACAGTACCAAAGCTTGCCCTAGATGAGGGAAATCAGAGAAAGAATTAAGTGGTAAGATAGAGCATCACATCTGAATAATGAAAGGCCCTGTATCATGGTGAGTACTATTGAACAAGACAGCAAGGCAGACAGAGGTACGAACCCCACTCCACCCCTCCCTAGCTGTGTAATCCTAAGCAAGTTATTTAAATTTCTGGAGCCCCATATCTCCAAAATGAAGACAATAATACCTCACAGCTTTGATTTAAAAACTGCAAGTTAGGGCCAGCCAGATAGCTCAGCAGACTAATGCACCTGCTTTGGCAGATGCGGGGACTGGGGTATGATCCCGGCCTGCCATGCGGGCCCCGCCCTGGGGGTGGGCTGAGTCTTGACTGAGACTGGGCGTGGTGGTACACTTGTAATCCCAGTGCTTGCCAGGCTGAAAACAGAAGAATCACGACGAGTCCGATCTACATAGTAAGGCTCTGCAGACCCTGTTCGAAAAATACCACAAAAAAAAAACAAAAAAAAAAACAGTGCTGGATATTAAACCCAGGGCCTCAAACTCAAACATACTAGGCTAGTATTCTACCCCTGAATATAACTCTTAGCCCAGCATTTGTTTTTAAATGAGATAGGAGACAAGATACAAGCAAACAAAGTATTTTACTTGTGTACATACAGGACTATGACATAAAATAACCTCCTGATAGTACCTTGAGATAAAACATTTTTGAAAGATAGTGAGGTAAAATCTTTCTTAAGACAGTAAGATCCTCTCTATTAAGGAAATGAGATAACCAAAACTTTGTTATTAATTTAGAACCAGTCATATAGGTGGCAACAAGGGCCGGCCAAATAGCTCAGTGGATTAAAGCACCTGCAAGCAGGCTCAGGGGCTGGGAATTTGATCCTGGAGCATGCCATGCTGGCCCCGTCTCTGGGGCACACTGAGATGGCAATTGAGACTGGGCGTGGTGGCATGCACCTGTAATCCCAGCTCTTGGGAGGCCGTAAACAGACGGATCACTATGAGTCCAATCTAGTAGTGAGACCCTGAACACCCTGTAGACCCTTCCCTAAAATACGAAAAAAAAAAAAAAAAAAAAAAAAAGATAGCTCAGTACAATAAGTGTTTCAATCCCCAGTTCTGAGAAAAAAAAAAAAAAAAATTAACACAGGTGGCAGTAGACTATACACCTTCTAAGATGGCCATAACCAAGCCCTGGGAAATTATGAATATGTTAACTTACCTGGCAAAGGGACTATATAGATGTAAAATAAAGACCCCACAATTGAAAAACTATCCTATATAGTAGAGTTGCTCTAACCTAATCACTTTGGGCCTTAAAAGCAGAAAAATTTCCCAGCTGTAATCAGAGGGAAATCTGACTACAGAATCATTTACAGACATGAAATACTGCTATCCTTGAAGAAAAAGGAAACCAGGAGCTAAGGAATAAAGTCGACCTCTAAAAACTAAAACAGAGGACAGCTGGGTTTGGTGGTGCATGCCTGTAAACCCAGCACTCCAGGGGGTGAGGCAGGAGGATTACTGTGAGTTCAAGGCCAGCCTGAACTACATAGTGAAACCTTGTCTCAAAAACAGAAAAAAGGGGGCGAGGATACAGCTCAGTGGCATAAGTGCCTGCCTGGTAAGTGCAAGGTCCTGAGCTTGATTCCTAGTACCAAAAGAAGAAGAAAAAAGGAAAAGGATGAAAAGGAAAAAGATTCTACCCTAGAGCTGCTAGAGAAAGGAACAAAGACCTGCTAATATCGCGATTTTAGTCCAAGTCTCCAAACTATAGAAACTTTTGTTGGACTTCTAACCTACAGAAGTGTAACAAAGTAAATCTGCAGTTTTTCTGTGTGTGTATCTTTTTGAGACAGTCTCACTATAGGTCAGGCTGGCCTTGACCTCACTTTGTAGCCCAGACTTGCCTTGAACTCACATGATTTTCCTGCCTTAGTCTCCCGAATGCTGGGATTACAGGTGTATGCCACCACGACTGGCTTAAATCTACATTTTTTAAAAACCACCAATTTGTTACAGTGGCAATAAAAATTATCAGAAAATACAGTAGACCATATCAACTTAAATTTCTTCAGAAACCATAAGTTATAGATAACTAAAAATCATAAAGAAATGAGAAATTATGATTTTGTAGCTCTCTAGGACTAAATAACTAATAGTTGGAATAAAGCAATAAAACTAGAGAATATTATTCTTACCATAGGTATCCATGGAATATCTGAAATGTGGGAAAAACGTATTTACATTCTTTAGTTCTTCCACAGTTAGATCCCTGAACTTGTACTGAAAAGAAAAAAAAAAATGAACACAGAATAAAAATAAAGCTATACAGTTAACACTTTCACATTTGCCTGGTGGCAGGCCTTACAGCTTTACAAACAAGGAAAGCATTCTATTTAATCTTTTAATTAAAATAAAAGTTCAGTGGGCCCATCCCTTGCATTTCTACTGTAAATATGCATGTTAGTGTAATAGTAGCCAGCCGTACATCTCAGGACCTTTCCTTGAGGGATAGATGAAGCAATCTATGTGTTTATCCACTTGGTTCTGATGAATGGCGAAGGGGTACACGGCTACAAAAGTGGCTAGACAGGATTGGGATTCACCTTTACATTCCGTTAAAACTGGTTTTGTGTATGTTTACCCAGGCATCACAGTGGGTCCAACAGACCCACAGCATTCCAAGACCTGTCCAAGTTTTCTTTTGATTCTTTCAGTAGAATTAACCCAGTTCAGTAAATGGCACATATAAAACCAGAATTGCAAATTTTGAAGATTAAAAGTGAATCATCCAATGACTCATGCACGGATGATGAAGATGATCATTACAGAAAAACACATGCTTTCATAATAGCAGGGTGATGTGGGAGGATGGTAACATGATGACAATGATAGCTTCTATGTTGGCCATGGGAGCCGAAGTTCCTGTGACAGTGAAACAGAGCAAGAATCAACTAATACAGACACAGAGAATGCAGACCTCCTTGTTTCCAAATGGGAGAAAAACAGCAATATGAGTACATACTTGACTAATTGAAATGTGAAATGGCCACAAAACCAAATGAAATGATCCAATGTTGGAATAGCTAAGCAGCTTAAGCACCTGCCTGGCAAGAGGATGGTCCCGCATTTGATCCCCAGTACCAAAAAATAAAATAAAATAATGAGAAGAAGAAACAGCAGCAACAGCTAGTTTTAGGGCCCATGAGATAGCTCAGTGGACTAAGTGTCTGCTTAGGCAAGCGCAGGGACTGTGGTTAAATCCCCAGCACCACATGCTTGCCGGGCCCAGGGGCATGCTAAATCGGCCACTGAGACCAGGTGTGGTGGCCTGGAATCCCAGCATACCTGGCCTGGAATCCCAACACTGGGGAGGCTGAAAATAGGAGGATCGCTACCAGTCTGAAGGTAGTGAAACCCTGTACCAAATACATTAAAAAAAAAAAAAAAAAAGTAAAGGCCTTGGCAGGGTTAAAACATACTGACTGACCAGTACTGCCATTCACTGTTGGGAACTGTAACAGACAATATGTGACATGATACTGAGAAATACACAAAGGCTAAAATATATGTAAAGTGGGCTGGTGAGATGGCTCAGTGGTCTAAAACACCTACTTAGAACAAGCTAAGCTAAGCAAAAGCACAGGGACCGCGGTTCAATCCCCAGCTCCACATGCCAGCCAGCCCCGCCCCCTGGTGGGCTGAGCTGGCCACACACACACACTAAATAAATAAATAAATAATTTTTTAAAAATAAAATAAAATATATGTAAAGTAAAATGTTCTATATGCACCAATAGCTATATTCAAAAATGTAGTTATTGGGACCAGTGAGATGGCTCAGTAGACTAAAGCACTTGCTTAGGCAAGCACAGAGGCCTCGGTTGGATCCCCAGAATCACATGCTGTGGCAGCCCCACCACAGAGTACGGGCAGTGGCATACACCTATAATCCCAGTGCACGGGAGGCTGAAAACAGGAGGATTGCTGAGTCCGAGTTGCATAGTGAGACCCTGTAACAACCAAATACATTAAAAAAGAAAAAAATGTAGTTATTGTGACCCCTCACTAGCTGAACTGAAAGTACTCATAGGTCTGCTGTACTCAGCATAGACTTCTCATGGTCATCTCAGGAATGTACAGGACTTACAGAAAAGCCATGGGTCATAAAAATGGCTTTTTTTTTTTTTTTTTTTTTTGTACTGGGAATCAAAGTCAGGACCTCCTGCTTACCAGGCAGGTGCTATGCCACTGTGCTATATTCCTGGCTCTTGGCATAAAGATATATGCCTTTATAGATGCGAAGACTTACTATACTTCCAATTTAGACATTTATCTTGGACCTCAGCCACCAGGTCCTTAGTTGTACAGTAACAAATCGAGTGATGTTGTGAACAGACTTGTTCTCATCTTCCAAACTAATCAGTGTGTAACATTCAACAATCGGTTTACCAGTTTCCAACTGATGTTACATATAATAGCAGCACAAAGCTGAGCAGAGCAAGAACACAGGAACAAAGCAGAAATTGCAAATGAAATGTCACAATTTCAAAACAGAGAACCGTATAGTGCAATCTTTGGAATTCAGAAAGCTGTCACATTGGCTTTATATAATGACGAAAAAAACAAACTGGTACTGCTGATGCCAACGATTCACCCTGATGGAAATACCGACAGGAGGGAAGCCCGAGATGGTCTTTCATCCACTGATTTAGCGCCCATGTCATCGCCAGACACGCAACAGGCGAAACGAAGGCAAAGGTAAAAATCACAGCCTCTGCCTTCAAAAGAGCTCACAGCAGGAGGAAGGTTTGCAAATAATTACTCCACGAAGGTGTAACCGGTTTTTCTGAAAGCAGGTATTGTGAGCTAATGACTCAACGTCCCAGAGACTGACAAGGAGTCTGTCACGGAGGATGAGGGCCCACGAGCGGGTCGTTTCTGCGGGGACAGCGGGCGGAAGCAGCGGGAGGCCAGAGAAGAAACTGGCGGAGGGACTGGCGCGAGCCGAGGCTCGAACCCGGGGCCACGACAGCCCGCATAGAAGAAGAAACAGCCCTGATGCCGGGACCCCAGCTGGCCACGCGGGTGGTTCGCACCTTGCCAAGAAGCCGTCTCACACCCTCGCAGTCGAACTCCATCTTCAGCCAGGTCCGGGAGCCGGATTCCAGGACTCCAAGTCGCACCCGGACCTTCCGGAGCGCTCCGGGACGGAAGCCCGCGAGGACCAGAACTCCCCAGCTCCAGGGCCCCGCCCCTTCCCGCGCGCAGAATTCCAGCTGCGGGCTCCGCGCAGCTGCAGAGGAGCTTTGCGCGCGTGAACCCTGAGCGGGCAGGGACGGGAAGGCGGCCCGGGGCGCGCTGGAGGCTGGAGGGGCGCGGCCCAGCTGGCTGGGTAAGGTATGGGGACCGCAGAGCGAAACAGGGAAGGAGGTAGAAGCTGTACGCGGGCTTCTAGAAAGTTGTGTTCTATTCTGCAGAGCAGCTGAAAAGATCAAGACCCTCGCTGGATGTAGGGAAGTCGAGATAGTGAAATTTCAAAAGCAAATTTTTAGAAAATAGGAAGGAAGAGAATCAGGAGCCTTGCCACATCACCCGGACGTGACACGGTAGTGGAGGTGCTCAGCGTGGAAGGGGACCCCCAGGAAGGGCGCTGTAAGTCCCCTGCGAGGGAACCTGAGGAAAAACCCGCGTTGGAAAACAGGAAAAGTTTGGAAACCAGAAAAAGGAGATTGGGGAACAAAAGTCAGCTGGAGAAGGACGAAGGAGAGATGGAGGACGCAGTGGTCTTCTGGAATTGTTGGGTCTGCTTGGCTTGTGAGGCTGTTTACCTGCCCTGTGTCCCGAGCTTGGGCACTGGGCAGTAAACATCGCAGGCCTGGTTGCTGACCCATCAAGAGCTTGGTCAGGCAGGAAGAAGCCAAAGGCAAGGGTGCTGCGCTCAGTTGGAAGAAAGCGAGAAGCTGGAAGGAGCGTTCATTCAGAAAAGTTTTTGTGAGCCTCTGTTATTTGCAAGCTGTTTTTCTAAGGTTGAGGATAGAGCATTGAACAAAATAGACAAACATACCTGCTGTCCTAAGCAAAATATACAGCATAGTAGAAGGTGTTTAAGTGTTGTAGAGGATAATTTTTAAAAATCTTGGAGTTGGGGAGATGGCTTAGTGGAATAAGTGCTTCTCTGGTAAGCGCAAGGGCCTGAGTTCAGTCCCTGATTCCACCAAAGGGGGGGGGAATATATATATATATATATATATATATATATATATATATAATTTATTTTTGTGGTACAGGATCTCTCCACGCAGCTCGGACTTTTAGTGATTTTCCTGTCTCAGCCTCCCTAGCGCTGGGATTACCAGCATGCACCATCACGCCCAGCGCGCCCAGGTTCTGGGGCTGGCATGGCGTGTGGTACCAGAGATTGAACCTGGGTTCTTGTGCTTGCCAGGCAGGTGCTTAGACCGCCAAGCTATCTCTACAGCCCGAGAATACATTTCTTAAAGATAGTTTAAGAGGACCAGGGTAGGTCTCCCTGAGCAGTAGTGTAAGCATTTATTTAGAGAGCAACCAAATCAAAGCAGTGTATTTTACAAACCTTCTGGGTGACTCTGAGGTGAGAAAGTCAAAAAACCACTGAAGAGCTCTAAATGTTTAGGGACCCTGGCTTGTGAGTGCCTTCCAGGCAGAGACTAGAACACACCTGTACTTAGCTTGAGGCTGGATGGTGGCAATAGGCCTGGAACCCCAGCACTGGGAAGGCTGAGGCAGGAAGATTGTGAGTTCAAAGCCATCCTGTAGTGAGTTCCAGGCCAGCCTGGACATAGTAAAACCCTTCTTCAAAAAGGAGAGAGAGAAAAAACTTTAAAAAAGAAAGAATGATGAGTTTATTACTCCTTGTAATGAGAAAGCAAGCATGATGGGGAACCATGGGACATCGTATTAAGCTACATCAGGATATGGGCAATGTGGGAGAGAATTTAAGGAAACAAGGCCTCACTCTGGATTTTGTGGCTTAGAAAGCGGGGACACTTCTGTGACTAGAATGTGTCAGTGAACCTTGTAAGATGGACAGACATGAGTGAGGCCAAAGCTGTAAGTAGTGAAGAAGCAGCGGGCACTTGTATTGACAGAAAGAGGGGGATACTTGGTATTTCGTTGGTTACACAGCGACTTTGTTCTTAGCTCTTTTTATGAAGAGATTTATGAAGTGGTCCTTTTATGTTCCACTTTCTCATGGTCTGAGTGACCCTGTCTGCTGTCTGTGTTCTTTGAGATTATTTATATCCAACAGAAGGGTAACCTGGCTTAGCGAAGAGCACCAGGCTGGTTTCTAACACCACCAAGGCCCAACTGTGAGACGAGCTCCTGGTGTCAGGGCTTGCTTTTTGTCTTTCTCAGCTTTTTACTCTGCAAGATAAGCCACTAGAAGGTTCTGGAAAGAAGAGTGTGGTCTGATTGTGTTTTTGTTTTTCTTTTCTTTGTGTGGTGTTGGAATGGAACTCAGGGCCTTACCCATTCCCACTGTGCTGCCTCCCAGCCCTTCTGGTGGGATTTCAGAATGACCAACTGTTGGATAATGAAGGGACAGTCCTGCAGGGCTTAGACTCGGGCAAGGGTGGAGGCCAGGAGATAGTGTAGGAGGAAGAAGAGAGGTGAAGGACAGGAGACCACGTACGGGAAGAGTAAGAGGCCTGTTAAGTGCTTCACAACCACATCTGACAAACCCTGAAACAGTAAGATTTCCAGGAGATCCAAGATTAAGCAGGTCCTGCCAGAAATGTATTAATCAAGGAAAAGGTAGCAAGTTAGCAGAGATGACTGAACAAAGTTCTTCCATTCAGACCAAGCCCCAGTTCTCTTCTAGGGCAGTAACCATGGACACTTTTTGTGTATCTGTAGGCGCACACATATGTTAGGTTTCCTGTGTGGAAGGTATTTTGCTAAGAGTTTTATGTGCTAATCGGGTGTGGTAGTGCACGCCTGTAATCCCAGCACTCTTGAGCCTGAGGCAGGAGGACCACCATGAATTTGGATACATAAGCAAGTTCAAGTCCAGCCTGAACTACATAGCAAGACCCTGTCTCAAAAAAAAAAAAAAAAAAAAAGTGCTTTATCTTTACCTTAACAGAGCTTTATGATCTGAATGGGGTTGTTCCCACAGTCTTACTGATGAGGGTTAGTGTGGTATTACTTATTTTGTGATTTCTGAGGTCCTCTTGAATAAAGGTGTATTAGTGGGGTGTGGTGGTGCATGCCTGTAATCCCAGCACTCAGAAGGCTAAAGCAGGAGGATTGCCACAAGTTCAAGACCTGTGTGGGTTCCATAATAATTGAAGACCAGCCAGGGCTACATACTAAGACCTTGCCTCAAAAAATAAAGGTGTTGGGGCCGGGGAGATAGCTCAGTAGCATAAGTACTTGCCTGGCAAGCACAAGATCCTGAGTTCAATCCTCGGCACCACAAAAAAAAAAAAAAAAAAGGTGTTGGGGCAGGGGAGATACCTCACTGGTGTAAGCGCCTTCCAAGTACAAGCACCTGGGTTTGATTCGCAGTACTGCATGCTGTGCAGGCCCCATGCCGGCTACTGAAACCGGGCATGATGGTACATGCCTATTACCCCAGTGCCGGGGAGGCTGAGACAGGAGGATCACTATGTGTCCGAGTTGTGCAATGAAACCCTGTACCAAGTAAGTAAATAAATAAATACTTTTTAGAAAAACTATGTATTCATGATTGCATTTGGGGGAGAGTTGCAAAATTAAAGATGCATACTGACTTCAACGTGTACATTGATTTTTAAAAAAGCTTACATGTGTAAAACAATGGACCTTAAAATAGAGGATATGTAGTATAACTGGCTCTGTTTTACGGATATGGGAACCAGAGTCTTGGACATTATGTGAGGTGATGGCAGAAACCATGTTCTTTATACATTATACAGCCTTTTCCAGGCTGTGATATTGTAATGAATCTTTGTGAACACAAGGCTAGTGTGCTTGAGGCCCTGGGATTCAATCTGCAGCATCACTAATAAAATAGTAATAACTTAGGACATCTGTGTCTATTGTTATTTCGTTACAAAACAAAGGTGTATAGTATAAGCACTGACCTCATCAAGCCTCCACTCTACCCCAACTTCTAGTCTGGCCCCCCTCCTCCTGAAACTGGTGTTGTTAGATCCTGGCATCTGTGAGTTTAAGGCCAGCCTAAACTGCAAGCAAGACTGTGTCTCAAAAAAAAAAAAATGTTTATTATAAATCTTACAAATTGCTGAGGGCTGTAAAGCAAATATGAACATAGGGCCGGCCAAATAACTCAGCTGACTAAAGTACTTGCTTA